AAAAAAAAGTTTCTCGATAAATGATTATTAGATTGCAAATTTTTTCATATGTTCAATTGACCATGACTGTGTGCATCGGTATGTTCCAGCAGAAGTAGCCATAGAGACTAGCTACTTGCCAAACGATGCCCCTTTTTCAGCTGTTACAAAGGAATCACAGGGCACAACATCCTGATTGTGTGGAACAACAGAATGTTTACAAACAAATCCAATTACCATTGTGCAATTTTCAGTTCTGTACAGTAAATTGGAGTATGGCACTGAGAACTCTATGTTCATGATTTATATGCAGAAAAGTTGTGTGATCTCCCTTCAGATTAAAAATACTAGAAACAATTTCCTTGGATAAAATTAGGATTCACTTTGTACCTAAGCCAGGTCTCCATGGTGGAACTTATGTAAATCACTTGTCTTTTGAGTAGGCATTCGGTAGGTATATTAATTAAATAATTTAGATAAAGTAATAAAAAATATTGACTGTTAATGAGAACATCAAAAGACATACTGACTGGCTTATGCGGAGGCTCAGGGGAAATATGAAACTTCTGATAGTCCCGTAGGATTTCACAAATTTCAGCAGGTCTCAGCCATCGATGTTGTGCTTCTATCAATATCTGCTCAATATCTGCACATTAGACAACAGTAATCAAATGAGAATGCACTTCCCATGCATTAGTCACAATAACTAGTCTCGAAATCATTGAATGATTCATTTAGAGCGTCATAAAGGATTCAAGAAGTGGGAGGAGGGAAGACAGACACAATAAAGAACAATTCTTGCTGTTTGCATTTAATAAAGCTTCCTCAGGACAAGCTTTTAATATTGAAGCTAGAAATTTGACGTGGATTCTGGACATGAAGATACATAAATATATTTAATTTTCTAAACTATATAGCTTCTTTCCATAAAATACAAACAGTAAATATCAATTTTCTGAGATATTTTTATAGGTGAAATAGCCGACACTTAAACAATATTGAGCATTTTTAATGAAAGTATTTACAAGTAGCTCACATTAGCCAACAACTGACGGGCCAGTAGCGCTTTGAGAACAATATGTATAACTCTTATCATACTCCTTAGTCCTTTTCTTGCTGGAAAAGAGGGTATAATATAGCGGTTAAACAGTAATTGAGGGTATGAGTACCAAACCAAGATTTTAGTTATTTAATATCTTAGGTTTACTGGGAGGAAAAAACTTTACAATAATGACAAAAGTTACAATACAGTTATTGATTAAATATTGGATTATTCAGGTTCTTTTGAGCAAAATGAAATGTTTTCCATCCATTTCATACAAAATTTTCTCAAATTCATTGGTATAGAGGAAAATATGCATCCACGTAAACCTATAACACAAAAGTGCTCTGAAGCCAAGTTATAAGTCCATCATTATGCACACCTCAAAATTCAAGGGGTTATTCTAATACCTCGGATCATCATATAAATTATATATTGTATTTATCTATTTTTTTCAGGATAGGGGTGGCAATGACAGTAATTTTGACCTTTAAAAGAATACGCAAAGTTTTGCAGCCAAACAGTTCCAAATGAAAAAAACTTAATGGTCTGAATTTCGAAAGGTTGTGTTTGCTCAACCATTTGCTGTTACTGTATAATGCAGGTGACAGGTTTTGGTCTTTATCAACTAAAATGTCAACATAATTACAACTGCACGAGCGCCTTCATCCAAAAAATAAAAAGAAAACAAAACCCTTATTTACCAAGCAGTAGCAGACGGACGAAAAAAGTATAAAAAGTAGGAATTATACTGAAAGATATATTTGTTCAACCAAACTAAATTCAAATCCATTATCCGGAAATCGGTAATATTCCATTTCAACACTTTTAAGGGGAAAACCAGGCGATTATACCTCCTTCACTCATTTATCCATTCGAAAGCTGGAATTCAGTAAACTTTACTCTCTTGAACTTAGAGTATTGTATTTTTTTTCTGAAATCAAAAGACAGGCGCGATAGAAAGGACTAACATTTAAATTTAAAAAAAAAAAAAAAAAAAAAT